TGTGGACGCGATGAGACCCTCGTAGTCCTGTGCAGGCAGCGTGAACGTTGCGTTGCACGGCGTGAAGGGCGTTGTGCGACCTGCGCAGGGCGTGATCTGCACCGCTGTTGCCTCTGGATCCTCCACCAGGAACAAGGTCAGGTCATCGCTCAAGTCCTCATCAACCACAGCCACATCCACAGGCACGGGCTGGTTCTCGGGTGCTGTGATGAACGCGTTGGCCTGCGCTGGTTCCGTAAACACGGGTGCATCGTTGGCGTCCGTGACGCGAATGGGGATGCGCGCCTCTGTCTCCAGTCCCGTTGCATCCACAGCAACCACGCTGAACCACTGCACACCGTCAGCGCCACCACTGCTGTCCTCAAAGTTGAGTGGCGCAACAAGCGTAACGTTGCCATCGCTGGTCACAGCCAGCACTGCCGGTACACCAGATCGGAACGTAACTGGACCAGACCCTTCAGGGTCAAGCGCGGAGAGCCGGCCAATCAGTGTCGTTGGCACCGTGTTCTCGACGGCGGTGGGCTGTGTCGGTGTGAGTGTGACATCCACCGGGGGCTCGTTCACGTCCTCCACGGTGATGTTGACCAGCTGCTGCACAAACTGACCCACAGAGTCGATGGCCACCAGGTGAAGTTGCAGCAAGGGCTCCGTCTCGTAGTCGAACAGCGTCGCCGCATCATCACGCACGTACAGCAGATTCCCGCGCAGTTGCAGCCGCGCGTCCATGCCAACGCCCGCAATCGTGTGCGTGTCGTTGACATCTGGGTCTGCAACGACAAGCTCACCCAACAGCATGCCTGCTGCTGCATCCTCACGCAGCTCGCCATCAAACGTGATGCCTGTTGGTGGCTCGTTCACATCGCCAATACGCACCGTCACGCCCTGTGTGACGTTCAGCCGTTGCGGCGTGGTGTCTGTGCACGTCACCTCCACCTCCACGGTTGGGCTCGTCTCAAAGTCAAGCACGCCAGCTGCATCACTGCGCAGCACAAGCTCGTTCTTGTCTGTCGTCACGGAGAACAGCGCACCACCGGTGGCCGAGGTGTCCGTGACCGCACACGAGTGCTGTTGACCAGTGGTGTCTTCATCGCTGACGATCAGCACGCCAACCCGCGTGCCTGCCTGCGCGTTCTCCGGGAGCGGTTCTGCCTGCAGCAACTGCACTGCTGCTGGTCTGTCGTTCGCATCCGCCACTTGCAGCTGCACGGACCGCGTGATGGCGAGGCCCTGTGCGTCGGTTACACGCGCCACCAGCGACACGCTCGGCGTCTGCTCGTAGTTGAACACCTGTGCTGTCACCACAACACCGGTGCATGTTGTGGCAATGGCGGTCGAGTTGCCTGTTGGCTGGGCGTGGTCGCACGTCACACCAACAACGCTCAGCACATCCGCAGGGATGAAGTCAAATTGAAGCGCCTCCATGTTCGAGTCCGGATCCGTCGCCGTGAGGGTGCCAACTGCCGTGCCGACGGCCATGTTCTCTGCCACAGCCAGCGGCGATGACACCACCAGGTTGATGGGCGCCTCGTTTGCGTCCGTCACTGCGATGGTCAGGTCTGTAAACGCTTCACCACCGCGACCATCGCTGGCACCAACAGACACGGCCAGCATGGTGTTGCCGCCCTCAAAGTCAAGCGCGCTTGTCGGGCCTGCGAACACGAGCAGCGCAGTGCTGTTGCCAGCGGCAGGAACAACGTCAAACAGCCCGTTGTCAGCGCCGGCAGCACCGCCGTCGCTGGCGATGAAGAACGTGACCGCGTCGCCGTCAGCGTCCATTGCATGCAGGGAGCCCACAACAAAGCCGGGCGCAGCAGTCTCTGGGATGGAGCCAACCGTGCTGCTGCCATCCAGCAGCGGTGAGCTTGGTGCATCATTGGCGTCAGCAATTGCAATCGTCAGCTGCGACACGACGCTGGCGTTGCTGGGATCTGTTGCCTCAACCTCCACCAGCACCACTGGCGCTGTCTCGTAATCGAACAGGAACTCGTTCGCGGCGAGCGGCGACGGTGGTTGTGCCACCACAAGTTGGCGCCCATCTGCAGATATGGCAAGCCGGCTCGAGTACGGTGCACTGCTGCCACCACCAACCACGCGGAGGCGATGCATGCCCGCATCTGCCGCGTCCTCGTCGTCAACGTGCAGTTGTCCCACGACGGTGCCTGGCGCAGCATCCTCAGGCAGCGGTCCGGTGGCTGTGGTGTTGAGCCAGACGCGGGTTGGCGCGTCGTTCCTGTCTGCCACATACAGGGCGAGGGACGCTGTCGTGCGTCCTGCAACGGGGGTGTGGGTGTCGACGCACTCAATGCGCAGTGTGTATTCCGCCTGCACCTCAAAGTTGAGCGGGTCGGTCAACTGCAGCCTGTTGCCGCCAACAAGCGCAAAAGGTGGCGCTGGCGTATCACTATCAGTTGGGGGCAGCAGCGTGCACATGACCGCATGGTTGGCGTCTTGGTCCGTCGTCGCCACTACCGCTGCCGTGTCGCCGACTGCCAGTGTTTCTGGCACAGAAGCGTCCGGCAGCAGCCCAGCAATGACAGGAGCGTCGTTGGCGTCCGTCACGTCAACGGTGATGGCACGACCGCCACGCGCACCCTGGGCGTCCACAGCCTCAATCACAGCGACATAGGTGGGCGTGGACTCATAGTCGAGTGGGAGCCGCGTTCGCAAATCTGTCGTGCAGGTGACACCCGTCAGCTGCGATGCGGAGGATGCCGGCATGCACGTGACGTTGCCGAGTGCAAACGTGTTGGTGGGATCCGACAACACAAACACCAGCTGCGTGTCGCGCACATCCACGTCTACTGCAGTGAGGGTTGCAACAGAGGTGCCGACCGGAGCGCTCTCCGTCACCTGCACTGGCGATGGCTGTGGAGCGCGCACAATGGGCGCATCATTCGCATCTCCCACCATCACCTCAAGCACGGTTGTCGAGGTGGCGTTGAGTGCATCCGACACGATGACCACCACCGTGAGAACAGGCGCTTGCTCGTGGTCGAGTACAAACGACGGCGCCCCAACAAACACCAGCTGGTTCTGTGCATCAATGGTGAACAGGGACGAGTTGCCCACACCAGCCGCAACAGCAGCCCGCAGCTCCTGGCCCTCGTCTTGGTCAAACAACAGCAGCAGCCCAACAACAGCAGGCGCCGTTGCATTCTCCAGCAGCACGTTGTTGTCAAGCGCCGCAGGGGCGGGCGCGTCGTTGCGGTCCAGCACTTGCATGTCAACAGAGAACGTGGCTGTGTGTGGGCCGTCCTGAACGAGGAAGCTGATTGTGTAAGAGTCAACACGCTCATAGTCCAGTGGCGCAGTCAGCACGAGCTCCTGCCCACGCTGCGTGAAGGGATGAAGGTCGGGTTCGGTCACTAGCGTCACGTTGGCATTGCCAAAGCCCCGACGCATGGCAAGCTCTGCTGGCTCTGCGCTGTCGGGCGAGGTGAAGGTGTACAGGTCGGGGTCGTCCAGGGCAATGCGTGCAATCACGGTGCCGACTGCCGCATTCTCAGGAACAGATGGCGGCTGCAGCAACACCTGCACTGGTGCTTCGTTCACGTCTTCAATCGTCAAGACCACGTCCTGCATCAGGGATGCGCGCGGCACACCGTTGTCCATGCAAGTGATGGTGCGTTCGCTCGCGCGCTCAAAGTCGATGGCGGCAGCGCTGGTCGCAAACACCTCGTTGATGATCTGGCCAGTCGTGTCGTTCGCCACGATGATAAAGGCGCTCGCAGGCTCGACAACCACGCACGTGTGCTGCTCTGCTGGGTTGTGCAGCAAGTCCTCATCCTCAACCACAATGCGGGCAACTGGGACTCTTCTCCACCGCACGTCTTCACGAACAGACGAAGGATCGAGGGAGAGCGCTGTGGGTGCGTCGTTGGCGTCTGTCACGGAAGCGGTCAGGTTTGCGGTTGTCGTGTGCTGGCCATCCGACACCACCACGGTGATGACATGCGATGGCTGCTGCTCGTAGTTGAGCGGCCTTGTGAGTGCCAATGGTGCACTGCAAACAGCGCCAACGCCATCAGCAGCAGATGTCTCACACTGCACGTCGGATGCATTCATTGGCGCAGCGAGCACAAACGTGTCGGTGGGGTCATGCACGGCGAAGGTGAGCTGGGAACCAGCGTCATCGTCCTCCGCCTGCACACGTGCCACGATGGTGCCAACCGCTGTGCTCTCAGACACGGCGGTCGCTGTCAGCTGCACATCGCGTGGGGGTTCCGGCTCATCCAGCACGTACACGGGAACGTCACGTGTGATGCCACTCGGGGTGTCCATCATGCCGCTGGCGTGCACGCTGACGTTGAAGACAGGCCAACGCTCAAAGTCAAGGCCATCCGCACCAGGCACAATCATGAGCACCACAGAATCAGACGAGGTCACTGTCATGGATGTCCGGCACTCTGTCTGCGATGGATCGGCAGCGAGGGTAGGGACAGTGCCTGTAGCGTCTGTTGTTGAGACAGGTGTGGCGGTTGTGTCCACAATCTCATCTGCGCCTGCATCACCATCACCACTGCTCACCACGGTGCCATCGCCGCTGCCCGTAAAGGCCGGAGCGGGCGTTGTCGTCGTCGTGGTTGTGGTGGAAATTGTGGTAATGGTGTCGCTGGGCATGGTGGCGGCAGCAGGCATGACAGGAGGGATGACGGCGAGGCATGCACGCGCGCCCGTGGCAACTGCTTGGCTTTCGTCTGTGACGGTGAAGGTGACAAGGTCGCCCTCGGGGTCAACCGCCGTCAGTGTCGCTGCTAGCGTTGGAGACGTGGTGCGCTCAGGGATGGGAGCGGCAGGCGCAACAGTGAAGGACGGCACGGGCTCGTCCACGTCTGTGATGATGAGCGTCACGTTCACATCGGCAAACAGGCCTGTGGAGTCTGTCACCCGCACAAGCAGCGTGGTCTCGCGCACGCTCTCGTCCTCAAAGTCAAGGGCCGCCTGCCCAGGTGCTGGCGTGCCAACGATGACATGTGCAGAGCGGTCGGCGGTGTTGTCGTCCACGACGGTCAGAGGGAGGTTCGCCGTGTCCACAAACGCAAACGAGTGCCGATCAAAAGTGTCGGGGTCGACGGCAGTAATCTCGCCAACGAGGGCGCCCACGGGCGAGTTCTCGGCCACGCTGATCTGCATGGGCGTGATGGCGGTTGGTGCCTCTGGCTCATCCAGCACGCGTACAGGGAACGTGCGGGTGATGGAAAACGCACCGTCCTGGCACGTCACTGCAATGTCAAAGGTGTCGGGCTCCTCCTCATAATCAAAGGTGCGCGTTGCTTGCACCGCGATGCGCTGCGTGCCTTGTGTTGCGGTGGCTACGAAGCTGTCTGCGTACGCGCCATCCACGGTGCAGGACACCGGCGACACCTGCACCTGATCCTCGTCCTCCAACGTCAGTGTGGACACGGTGTAGGGCAGCGGCACGGCGTTTTCGGGCAGGAGCAGCGGCAGGGCGGGTGCAACGAGGTCCGTCGGTTCATCGTTCACGTCAAGCACAGTGAATGAGGTAGAAGCAGAGGCGAGGCCACCCATGGTGTCTGTCACCTCCACCACAATGGGGCGCATAGTGGCGGACGACGCCAGCAGCTCTTCGTAGTTGAAGGTGTGCGTGCTCAGCACTTGTGCGCGGCACACGACGCCAACACCGCCCTCGCCCGGCTCACACGCCGTCACACCTGCACGTACCCCACTAATTCTGCTGCTGCTGCTGCTTTCGTACACGGTGATGTTTAGGGTGTCACTGGCGTCTTCGTCGGTTGCAATGACAACGCCTATTGGGGTGCCGGCTGGTGCGTTCTCGGGCAAGGTGAAGCTGCCCTCAAACGCAATCGTGCTTGGGGCGTCGTTGGCGTTTGTCAGGGAGATGGTGACAATGGTGCTGGCGCTGAGCGGGGACGCGGCATCACTGTCTGTCGCCACCACCTCAAATGAGACACTGGGCTGTGTCTCAAAGTCAAGGGTCGGTGCTGGGCCAACGACAACAGAGGTGCCACTGATGGTGAAGGAGGACGCACCAACAGCATCCCCACCGTCACCGATCGAGAAGGTGATGGTCTGGCCATCGTCCTGGTCCATGGCGGACACCTCGCCAATCACCGTGCCCGGTGCTGCGTTCTCCGGGAGCGTCAGCGCGCCCTCGTACATGGGCATCGTCGGTGGTTCATTCACGTCCACAATGGGGATGGCGATGGTGCGGATGACATATCGGAAGGTCGGGTCAAATGCACCGAGCGTGACGGAGAGCTGCGGCGTTGCCTCATGATCAAGCACAGCGCCGCGCGCCACCACGAGCGGAAGCGACCGCCTGCGTTGGACATGAGGCTGATGGTGTGCGTGTCCCCGACGTCCTCATCGCGCACAAGGATGCGTCCGACTGACGTGCCTGCTGGCGAGTTCTCGGGCACGCTGCCGGGCACAATGACAATGTCGGTGGGTGCCTCCGGTACGTTTGTCAGCTGCACCGTGAGTGTGTGGTTGATGGCGAGTGGGGTCGTTGCTGTTGAGCCGTCAGTGCATGTCACTTCGACCAGCAGAACAGGCGTGTCCTCGTAGTTCAGCGCGGCCTTGAGCTCGCTGGCGGTCGCCGTCGGGTCAACCAACACTCGCCTGCCACCACTGACCACGAAGGGCCAGGATGCTGATGACGGGTGCCGCAGAGCACACGTGTACGTGCCGGCTGGGCCTGCATCTTCATCTGCGATGGTCAGCACAGCGACCGTAGTGTTGGCGGCAGAGTTCTCTGGCAGCTGCACCGTCGCAGGTGCCACCGAAGTTGGCGGGTCGTTGAGGTTTGCCACCTCCACTGAGCCTGTCGCCGTTGTCTGTGCGCCAGCTGCATCTGCTGCGTGCAACGTGAGCACGAAGGAGGGAAGCTGCTCGTAGTTGAAGGGCTGGTTCAGCGACAGCACAGCACCACTGCACTCCGTGTACCCAGCAGCCAGCGTGCCGTTGTTGCCTTCCCGTGGTGGAACGCTGACGCACGACGGCTGCGTCTGAATGGTGATGTCAATGTTTGCAGGATCGGTTGCAATGCCGGTGATGACGACACTGTCTTCTTCGTCTGGGTCAGTGATGGTGACGCTCAGGGTGACCGCGCCCGGCAGCGCATTCTCCGGCACGCGTGTGGGGGACACCACAATGGACGATGGGGCCTCGTTCACGTCACCAATGGCGATGCCGGCATGTGTGGCGGGCGAGTCATTCACGCCGTCGCTGGCTCGTGCCCAGAAGAACAACCTGGCGTCGCTGCTGCTGCTGCTGCCTCCCTCAAAGTTAACGGGAGTGGCGGGAGTGGCGAGCACGATGGAGGCGCTGTCTTGGCCGCCAACAACGAAGCTGACGGGCGTCCCTTCTGGGTCTGTGGATGTGAGTGTGGCAATCACGGTTCCAACAGCCGTCGTTTCGGGCACGGGGATGATTGTGACATCGCTGCTATTGTCACCGCCGTTTCCAAGAGTTGGGGTAATGGTGGGTGCTGTTGGTGGCTCGTTCACATCTGCAACCTCATAAGTGAACTGGCGGGAGACAGGGATGCCGGAGAGATCGATTGCGGTGACGTTGAAGGTGCGGGTGGGCTGTGTTTCAAAGTCGATTGGTGCATCTGCCAAGATGACCACCTCGTTGGTCTGCGCAATGGTCAGGCGCCCGCCGTCATTGTCCGAGAGGACAAAGATGGTGCTGTCCTGCGCGTCCTCGTCAATCGTGCTCAGCGTGCCAAGGACAATCGCCTGCGAGCGAACCTCCGGCACAGGCCCAGATGCAGCAAACACGACGGCCGTGGGTGGCTCCTGCACGTCCACCACATCGAGGGTGAGATTGGCTGTCGCGAACACAGTGGCGTCGTTGACGTCGCTGCACCACACAGCAAACGTGAGCGAGGCGCGCTCCTCGAAGTTGACGGTCATACCCGCGGCCACGGTGAGTGTGTTGGGCGGCAACAAGGAGAGCAAGGCGCTGTCGCCGCCAGAGAGCAGCTGGCACGTGTGCTCGTCACCGCTCCTGTCCTCATCAAACGCAACGATGGTAGCGATGGGGATGCCTGGTGGCGTGTTCTCCGCAACAGAGCTCGTGCTGAGCTCCAGCAAGTACGGTGGCTCGTTGACGTTGAGGATGGTGATGTTGAAGGGTTAAACACCGTGTACAGCAAGTCCGTGGCAACGACGACCACGTCCACAAAGGGGGTCTCCTCGTAGTTTGGCGCGTTGGCAGCAGCAGAGGTCGTGCTGAGCGTGGCCGTGCACCGCGTGCCACCTGTTGCCGCATCGTCAACACACGTCGTCGGACCAAGCTGAAACGACGGGTTTGACCGCGCAGCGAGGTACAGCGACATGCTTGCACTCAGGGTCGAGGACAGAGACGACGCCAACAGCCGTGGCAACGGCATTCTCCTCCACCACATCGCCTTGTAAGGACAGCTGGCGTGGTGCCTCGGGCACATCAACCACGTCAATGAACAGCGTGGTGACGGGACCACGCGCGCCCTCGCTGTCCTCGGCCTGCACGTCCACCTCCACCACACTCGACACCTCAAAGTCAATGGCATCTGACGAAGCTGCTGCTGCTGCTGCTGTTGTTGAGGAGAGGATGTGTTGATGGGCTGCACCTCAAACAGGCCCGAGTTGTGCCCGGCAAGCACGTGGATGGTGATGGGAGTGGTGGCGGACGGGTCGTCTTGGTCCGTGGCAGAGACAATGCCCACCACTGTGCCGGCTGCACTGTGCTCGTTCAGAGAGGAAGGCTGCAGCGTGACTGCGCTTGGTGGGTCGTTCGCGTCAAGCACGCTCACAGTGATGGTGGTCTGCAGCACGTTGTGTGCACTGTCCTCGGCGCGAATGATGACGGCGACGCTGTCCTGTGTCTCAAGGGCGAGGTGAGGACAAGCGCAGCGTATGTGCCCGTGGATGGGTTGCGCACAGCCTCAAACACACCCGCAGGTTCGCTGGCCACAGTGACGTTGTGTGTGTCGCCTGCGTCCTGGTCCACAACAATGATGGAGGCAACGGTGCTGCGCACAGGCACGTCCTCTGCAACCTGCGTGGACGAGAGCGCAATGGCTGTTGGCGGTTCGTTCACGTCTTACACAGTGAGAGTGAATGTGGCGTCGGTAGCGCCGCCGTTGCCATCGCTGCATGCCAGCGCGACATCGAAGGTGTGCGATGCCTCAAAGTCAATGGGCTGCGCGTCAACGAGCACGAGCTGCTGCTGTGGTTGCGTCTCGCCTGATGCCGGTGCAGCGGATTCAATTGTGAAGGCAGCATCTGCTGGCGCCAGCACGGAGCACGACACCACGTCGCCGTCTTCATCGTCCACCATGACCGTGGCAATTGTGAGCGGCAGGGGCGAGGACGGTGCCTCGGAGACAACCGTGTTTGTCAGGCCAAGAACGCGTGGCATGTCGTTGACATCCTGCACGGCGATGGTGAAGAACTGCGTTGTGCTGCTGCCGACAGAATCGGTCGCCCGCGCCAGCAGCGTGAATGTCGGGGTCGTCTCAAAGTCAAGCGGTGTCGTCGTGACAACATCCGCAGTGCACAGGCCAGCACCACCGGAGCAGGCGGTGGGCTGCGGGGTGGCGACGGCCAGGAATTCACCGCCAAGCAGAATCTCAAACGTGATGGTCTCATCCATGTCCTCGTCCGTGACCGCGAGCGTGCCAACGAAGGTGCCGGCCACTGCGTTCTCCGGGACGGCCGCTGTTGCGTTGATGAGCACCAAGCCCTGTGGCGCGTCGTTGCTGTCGACCACGCGAACAACGATGTCCGTCGTTGTGCTGAGCGGTGGGTCGTTGTCCCCAGGGCCGCCCGAGTCCTGCACGGTGATGGTGAAGGTGATGGTCGGCGTCGTCTCGTGGCTCACGACAACGTCCGGGCTGTCTGTGTTGTCGTAAACGAGTGCTGCACCGTCGAGTGCAAACACGGGCGCGACGTGTGGCGGATCGATGCTGTCAATCGCAAACTGGAGCATCTGGCTCGCGTCCTCATCCGTGGCCTGCAGCGTGCCGACGACGAACGGAAGCGCCGTCGTGTTCTCGGGAAGCCTGTTGCTGGTGATGGTGGGCGTTGTCGGGGCGTCGTTCCTGTCCTGCACAAACACGAGGATCTGCGATGTGGCGGAGAGGCCGCCTTGGTCCGTTGCGGTGACGGCGACAACGAACACGGACCGCACCTCGTAGTTCAGCGTGGCGCCCGCTGCCAGCACCAGCTGCACCGTACGCCGGTCGCTGCCTGGAACGAGCGCGAACTTGCCAGAGGCGTCGGTGAGCAGGAACGTGTGCGTGTCGTTGGCGATGCTGTCTGGGTCCTGCACGGTGAGCGAGCCGGCCACGGTGCCCGGGAGCGCATGCTCGGAGATGGAAGGCACGCCGTTGGGGACGACAGATGTGGGTGACTCGTTCAAGTCTTGGACGAGCAGCGTGAACTGGTGTGACACGGCAAGGGAGCTGTCGCGAGCATCGCGCGCGGTGACGTTGATGACAAAGGACGACTGCGACTCAAAATCGAGTGCCGACCGGTCGACAAACAGCTGCTGGTTCTCAATGTAGGCGACGCCGGCTGGGGACACGTCAAACACAAACGGTTGCGGGTCTGCGGTGGCGTCGGCCGTGTCCGGATCCAGCACGCGCACGGCGCCCACCAGCCACGGCTGTGCTGCTGTTGTGGCGTGTGCTGGCTGCTCTGGCACAAGGAACTGCTGCAGCGGCTGCTGCGACGTGTCGTTGATGGCGTGCACGACCACGTCTGTGGGCGGCTCGTTGATGTCAACGACGCTGATGTTGAAGGTGGACGTGACGACGGCGCCGTTGTTGTCGATGGAGGAGATGGATGTGGTGACGACAGGGTTGGCCTCGTGGTTGAGCGGCACTGCAGACTTGACCAGCAGCATGTCGCCCATGATTTGAAAGGCTGCAGCGGCTGTTGAGCCTTGCGGAGACACAAGTGCGTATGTGAAGGTGCCACCAGCATCTTGGTCCACGGTGCTGATGCGGGATACGAGGGTGCCGGCTGGCGTGCTGGTGGTATCAAGCAACACGGCTGTTGGCGCGTCGTTGTTGTCCTCAACGTTGATGCGCACATGCGCACAAGAAAGTCAGCCGACAGCTGGGAAATGGTGCCGTTGTCTGTTGCACGCACGACAGCCTCGATGGCCGACCCATCCACCTCAAAGTCAAGTGCACGCGTGATCTCCAGAGTGGGAGAAGCTGCACCTGCACCACCACTGCCACCACTGCTACTGCCACCATTTGTTGTTGCCACGACAATGACACCGGGTGGTGTTGATGAGAGCACCTGCAGCGTGTGGCTCTGGTGGGTGTCTGGGTCTTCCACAGTGACAGTGACGAGAGGCAGCGGGAAGGTGTTCTCTGGCACGCGCGTGGTGCTGAGGGAGATGCGTTCTGGCGGCCTGTTGGTGTCATCACTGCACGTCGGGCCACCCCACTCGCCGACACATGCGCACTCAAACGCGTTCACCAGGTCCGTGCACACGCCGCCGTTCATGCACGGCTGGGCAGCGCACTCGTCCACCTCCACACACGTCCCTTGAAACGTGTAGTTGCCTGTCGCCGTGCAGGTAGCCGTGTAGGTGGCGGTAGCCTGTGCATCGCCCGTGGTGGTGTAGCCATCATCGCACGTGTACAGCGCCTGCTGCTGGTAGGTGCGGGGCTGGTCTTGGCTGGCCACGGTGGCAAAGGGACGAGAAGGCGGCAGCCCACACGACAGCACATCGCACGAGCGCCCATCCGCTTGCAGCTCAAACCCGGCAGGGCAGGAGCACTCAAACGACCCAATTGTGTTGGTGCATGCGTCTTGGCACGCCGTGCTGAACGACTGCTGTTGCCGGTTGCGGCCGTGTAGGCTGCATACGCGTCTGGGTCGCACTCGTTGACGTCATGACACGCCAGCTCCGTGTTGGTGTAGGTCTGATCGGCCCGGCACGTGCGGGTGAACGAGGTCATGTAGGCAGGCGTACTGTCTGGCGGAAGGAGCGTGGTGAGCGTGCTGCCGGATGTGGTGTTGTAAACGACGTTACCGGAGTGGCACGAGTACACAACGGAGTCCTCAAAGTGGACGTCCACCCCTGGTGACCGTGACGTGATGGTGGCTGCATCCGCAGTTGCCGGTGCTGGGCACTGCACGCGTTGGGCGCACAGGTCGCCCTGGAAGCCCGTGCCTTCGCAGGAGCACGTGAAGTCTGCCACGAGGTCTGTGCAGGTGCCGGGCCCACAAGGGTTGGGGCTGCAGTCGTCGATGTTGTCGGCACACGTGTCGCCCTCAAACCCGGTCGGGCAGGCACACCCGAATGCCTTGATGCGAGTGCCGGCAGGAAGGGCCGTGGTGACGTCGTAGGTGAGCGAGTCACGGCGCGCCGTTGCTTGCGGGGCGGTCGCAGATGTCGGGTGGACGATGGTGAAGATGCTGGTGGCAACGCGGTACTCCACCTCTGCCAACACGCTTGAGTTGCCGGGCACCTGCTCGCTTGCCAGCGCGTGCACGCAGCGCTCGTCGGTTGTGGATGTCACGCCCGTGGTCTGCCACACGCTAGCGGTGTTGGGGATGCTGGACAAGGCGGTGAGGGTTGCCTGTCGCAGCTGGGCGGCGTGGACGTGGGTGGCGGTGTGGTGCCGCCTGTGGCAGACGGGTTTGTGGTGGTCGTGGATGTGGTGGCAGAGGGGCGGATGATGGTGAGCGGCTGGGAGGAGAGGGTGCTCCCATCCGTCATGTGCAGCACAATTGGGCTTGGCGAGACGGGGATGGCGGCGGTGGAGCGGAGGTCTGCCCGCTGCAGCCGCACGCGAATGCTGGACTGGATGACAGCTGTCTCTGTGATGAGGAGGTTGCCAATGGTGATGTTGTCGATGGGCAGGGTGCTGAGGTCGCGGTCCTGCGCCACGACGAGCACGTCCACCACGTCAAGCGCCGTCTCCGTGTCGATGGTGTCTGGGAAGAGCTGGACAGCGTACGTGCACGTGCGATTGTCGCTGCTGAGCATGCTGTCGGGTGCAGTGCACGCGCACGCGTACGAGCCGTTGGTGTTGATGCACTGCTGCTCACACTCGTTCAGGGCGACCGACGCGCACTCGTCAATGTCCACGCAGGTTGCCGATGGTGCACCGAGTCTGCCGCTGGCGGTGCAGGTACGAAAGACCAGCGCAGGCCCGTCCTCGCTGGCGGAGCTGCGAAACCCAGAGAGGCACTGGAAGACGGCACGCTCGTCGTAGGCGATGCTGTTGGCTGGCGGCTCCGGGAACAGCTGCGCGCTGAACTGCGGGGTGGTGTCTTGCGTGACGTTGCAGGTGATGAGGTGCTGGCATTGCGGGCCAGTGAACCCTGTTCCTGTACAGTTGCACGCGTACGCTGCCGGAGTGTCGATGCATGTTCCATGCACGCAGGGCGCAGACGCACAACCATCCTCGGCCTCGTACACGCGCAGGAGCTGCGCGGACGTGATGTCAACGCCATCTGCAAAGCTGAGTGAGAGAGCTGCACCAGAGGGGTTGGCTGACACGTCGCCGCGAAGCAGGGTGATGGCGGCATACGGGTCTTCCGTATCTGGATTGCTGCTCGGGGCCGTGACGAGTGATATGACGGATTGCGGGTCGGGAACTGTTTGTGCCCCGTAGCTGAGGGCTGTGACCTGCGCCAACGTGTAGTTTGCAATGGCTGGCGAGGAGAGGCGCACCTGCGCGCTGCCCATGGCTGAGAACTCAACCTCTGTGGGCGACACGCCACCCTGAATGGTGTGTACTGCACCAGGCAAGGCCGTCAGTGCTGCCTGACTATGTCGCAAGCAGTGCAAGTGCACTTGCAGACGCCGTTGGTAACGGTTGGCGTCGTTGCTTGTGTCGTGCACGCTGCTGCTGGTGGTGGTGGTGTTGTCTTGTGTGCTGTTGCTGTGGTTGTGTTGTGTGCTGCTGCCTTTGTTGTTGTGTGTGTTGATTGCAGCGTGCTGGTGATGCATTACGGCAGCTGCTGTGGCTGCAGCTGTCGATATTAGGGTCACGATGGCTGAGGGCACGACATGGTGATGAGGCGTGCCGTCTCCTGGATAGCTGTGGATACGGGTACCATGCGCGTGCTGACCACGGCATGGTTGAAGACTGGTGCTGCCGAGGCCAGATGTGCTGCCGTGTAGGGTAATGTGCGTTTTCGTGATTGTGTGTGTGTGTGTGAGTGATTGCGTGTGCGTGTGTATGCGTGTGCGTGTGTATGCGTATGTGTGTGGGTGCGTGTGAGGCAGAGCAAGTGTACGTCACAAAAGTGTGTGTGTGTGTGTGTGTGTATGAGGATGAACGGAGAAGGCAACGCTTCTTGCGCATGCATGGAGCAGCACCACTCGCTCGCTTTCTCTCTCTCTCTCTCTCCGTCTGTGTGCTGCTTGCCATTATTGCAAGCCACAGCTAGCTTCCATGCTGCCGTTGCATACGCTCACCAGGTGAAGAAGGCCAGACGTTATGAAGGCTGCGTCTTGCCGCAGGAGTGTAATCCACAAAAAAAAAAGTTGATCAGAGAGAGCCCTGCCCAATGGGAAGAACAGGACAGCAAGGAGAGCAAGGAAGGGGGAGGGAGAGAAGAGGCAAGGCAAGTCAGCAGGATGACAGTGATGCGTGAGTTGGTGATTGTTGCAGGTCTCGCACGTGATGATGGCACGAACAACCATGCATGCAACGAAGCATCAATGGATGCAAGCGTGCTGCACAACAAGGGCAGTCGTGGTCGAGCAACGGCAGCAAGCAAGCATTGAGGGTGTGCGATTGTGGTTGTGGTTGTAGGGTTGTGGTTGTGGTTGTAGGGTTGTGGTTGGGGGAGCACAACATTGGGAAGCAACGACGACAAGGGTGGTGCAAGAACAACCGGAGCAAACCTTGTTGTCTGCTTGGATGGTTGCAAGGAAGCGTCACAGCTTTCACTTGACTTGTCAAACGCTGTGAGGACACCTGCCACGCATGCAGCGCAGATAAAGATAGAAGACAGTTGCGTGTTTGCTTGTTTGCTGTGCTTGCTTGGCTGATGATAGCTGGTTCGCGATGGGGTGCTCTGTTGGGTGTGCGACGCGAAGGATGGGATGCGAGGAGGCCAACAAACCAATAAGCTCAGCAGCCAACAACAGGTGCGGCCGAGCAAGCAAGCAAAGGTGGGCAGCGTGGATTCCACTGTTTGTGGCGTGTGTGCAGGTGTTGTTGTTGTGTGTGTGCTTTTGCCTGCAGGCACGCACCGCACTTCTTTCAATGTGTGTGAGTGTTGTTTTGCCCTTGCAATTTAAAAGATTTTTTTATTTTATCCGCTGCAACTGGCCAATCAGCGTGCACCAAGCAAAAGCAGTCCGTTTTTCCAACTTTTTCTATTTTTTGCTTCAGGCTGGGCCCGTCCCACACAGCAGAAACGGCTGAGAAGGACGACAGAAACAGCTGACGCTGATGACGAGACAACACAGAACGAGCACACAACAGCAGCGGCAGCAGCAGCGGAGGAGATGACTGTCTTGGGAAGGGTTAAGGTTGGAGCAGAGCGAGGCACCGTCCGCTACGTCGGTCAAGTGCAGGGTGCACAAGGTGGGCGATGTGGTGTGGTGTGTGGTGTGGGTGTGTGCTGCGCTGTGTTGTGTGGATGTGGTGTGTGTGCTGTGTGTGTGGTGTGGGTGTGTGCTGCGCTGTGTGTGTGCTGTGTGTGTGCTGTGCTGGCCGTGATCCCCTCACCCTCACTCTGTGCCTCTCTGACTCTGCCTCTGTCTCTGTCTCTCAAACACTGCGTCTCTCCTGCCTCAGGAACGTGGTACGGGATTGAGTGGGATGATCCAAGCCGAGGGAAGCATGATGGATCACACAAGGGCGTCAAATACTTTGCCTGCAGGTATGTACATATGTGTGTGTGTGTGTGTGTGTTCGGGTGCATGTGAAAGAGGGGTTGTGGGACGAAATATTGCATCGTGTAGAACAGGTTGCGTGTCAACTGACCGATACGTCAGCGTGCGTTCAAAATAACGTTGGAGGGTGTCTGTGTGTGTGCAAACGTGCCTTCGTTCACACATCAGCACACAGACACACTCTCTCACCCCATCCACTTCCCTACCTCCCTCTTTCGTCTCCATCACACACTCATGAACGTGCCACGTTTCCCGTCTCATGTCCTCCCCCTTCGTTCCACACTCGCACCTACGGACACAGTCATGCGACGGGAGGGTCCTTTGTGAAGGAGAAGAAGGTGAACCGGGGCGTGTCGTTTCTGCAGGCGCTGGAGACGCGTTATGGGGAAGAGGAAGCTGCGTCACACGTGGAGGTGAACGTGCGACAGCGGATCGAGGTGGAGCTGGTGGGCGAGGACCGCGTACGCTCTCGCATCCAGCGACACGACGAGCTGCGAGAGGCGCAGCTACGCGACATGGACATCAACGACACTGTGGAGGACACGCTTGCTGAACGCTGTCCCAACGTGAACATCCTTGATCTCTCCTTCAACCTCATCTGCAAGTGGTCCACGGTCGTCGCCATCTGCAAGCAGCTCCCGCGCCTCACGTCCCTCAACATCAGGTGCAGTGTGCGCTGTGTGCATGTGTGTGTGCGTTGGGGGGAGGGGCCAAGGAGCAGCTGTATGTGCTGGGCGTGTTCATGCTGTGTGACTGTGTATGTGGTTGCGTCATTGTGCGTGTGTGTGTGTGTGTACATATGTGTGTGTGTGTGTGAGTGTGAGTGTGACTGTGTGTGTGTGACTGTGACTGTGTGTCCTGTGTGCCTCCTCTTTCTCCTTCCTTTCTCTCTCGATGTCTGTTGCTGTCTGCAAGGCCACTCACGGCTGGTGCGAGTGCTTCATCCGCTGTCTCATGTTCTCGTGCTGTCTGTTGTGCAGCGGCAACCGCCTTGACTTTGACACCATCGACGAGGAGACTGCGGCCTTCCACGACGTCACGTGTCTCTACCTCTCCCACATTCCGGGCCTGCAATGGGATCAGGTGAACGCACACAGACAGACAGACAGACAGACAGACAGACAGACAGACAGACAGACAGACAGACAGACAGACAGACAGACAGGCAGTCAGACAGTCAGACAGTCAGTCAGACAGACAGACAGACACACATACACACACACACACACACACACACACAACGACTGCCACCGCTTGCTTGTGTTCCCATGAGTGCGCTGACGATTTCTGCTGCTTGGTGCCAGGTTGTTCAAATTTGTCGGCACATGCCAAACTTGACAGAGCTCCACGCCTGCGAGAACGGCATGGAGCACATCAAGTACGCTGCTCTTGTGTGTGTGTGTGTGTGTGTGTGTGTGTGTGTGTGTGTGTGTGTGTGTGTGTGTGTGTGTGTGTGTGTGTGTGCGTGCGTGTGTGTGTGCGTGCGTGTGTGTGTGTGCGTGTGTGTGCGTGTGTGTGCGTGGGTTGACCGAGAGCGGGGTGAATGGACGGTTTGGCCGGCTCACCTTGTGACTGTGATTCAACTGCTGGCGGTAATTTGAATTGTTGCCACAGTATGGACGCAGAGACGGTGCGGGTGTTTGGGCGGTTGCACACCCTCAACATGTACGGGAACGCCTTGCATGCGTGGTCAAAGGTGAGGCGCCCTTCACAGCCCATGCTGTGCCATCACACACACACACACACACACACACACACACACACACACACACACACATCGTGGGTGTGTGCTCATGGCACGGCTTTTGTTGTCTCGTTTGTCCTTTAGGTGCTAGCGTTGGGCGAGCTGCCCGCGCTCTCTGACCTGAAGCTGAACGCGAACCAACTCGGTGACTGCACAGACTTTACACCGCTGTCATCGCTGGCATCGCTCTCCATTGCGTACGTCGCAGTTGTGCATACGCGCCATCACCAGCGTGCGTGCATGTGACGTGTGTGTGTGTGTGTGTGTGTGTGTGTGTGTGTGTGTGTGTGTGTGGTCGTGTACGTGCTGTGTGCCGACGTGAATATGCCCCAGCACCGTCTAACCGATGCCCTTGTTTTACATCACAGGTCAAATGAGATTTCGTCATGGGAAACCGTCAAGGCACTGGGGAAACTCACAGGTGTGTGCATGTTCCTGCATCCAGTTTGCTCAGTTCCATCCTCACCCAACGGCTGCTCACACGACCATGACCACGACCACGACCACGACCACGACCACGACCACGACCACGACCATCATCACCCCTGTTCCACCACCTTATACCACTATTGGTTTACCGCAGGCCTGACGAGTGTGCGCATGCGGCACAACCCGGTTGGCAGCGGCGTGACGGAGGCCGTGTACAGGAAGCTCTGCATCCACCACCTTCCACGTCAGTGCCAAAGAACAAGCAGGGAGAGGCATTACTATGGGGAGAAGAGCGAAGGGGATTTGCGGTTGCATGGTGTGTGTGTGTGTGTGTGTGTGTGTGTGTGTGTGTGTGTGTGTGTGTGTGTGTGTGTGTGTGTGTGTGTGTGTGTGTGTGTGTGTGTGTGTGTGTGTG